CTACTAGGAGCAAGGACGCTACTAGGGGCTCGTGGCATCGCTACTAGGAGCATTCTTGCTACTAGTAACAAGAAGCTACTAGGGGCTCCTGGCCTTACTACTAGGAACAAGGACGCTACTAGGGGCTCCTGGCATCGCTACTAGTAGCATGCTTACAACTAGTAACAAGAAGCTACTAGGGGCTCCTGGCCTTAATCGTAGGAGCAAGGACGCTACTAGGGGCTCCTGGCAACGCTACTAGTAGCATTCTTACTACTAGTAACAAGAAGCTACTAGGGGGCTCCTGGCCTTACTACTAGGAGCAGGGACGCTACTAGGAGCTCCTGGCATCGCTACTAGTAGCATTCTTACTACTAGTAACAAGAAGCTACTAGGGGCTCCTGGCCTTACTACTAGGAGCAAGGACGCTACTAGGGGCTCCTGGCATCGCTACTAGTAGCATTCTTACAACTAGTAACAAGAAGCTACTAGGGGCTCCTGGCGTTAATAGTAGGAGCAAGGACGCTACTAGGGGTCCTGGCATCGCTACTAGTAGCATTCTTACTACTAGTAACAAGAAGCTACTGGGGGGCTCCTGGCCTTACTACTAGGAGCAAGGACGCTACTAGGGGCTCCTGGCATCGCTACTAGTAGCGTTCTTACTACTAGTAACAAGCAGCTACTGGGGGCTCCTGGCCTTACTACTAGGAGCAAGGACGCTACTAGGGGCTCCTGGCATCGCTACTAGTAGCACTCTTACTACTAGGAACAAGAAGCTACTGGGGGCTCCTGGCCTTACTAGTAGGAGCAAGGACGCTACTAGGGGCTCGTGGCATCGCTACTAGGAGCATTCTTACTACTACTAGTAAGGGGCTCCTGGCCTTACTACTAGGAGCAAGGACGCTACTAGGGGCCCCTGGCATCGCTACTAGTAGCGCTCTTACTACTAGTAACAAGAAGCTACTAGGGGCTCCTGGCCTTACTACTAGGAGCAAGGACGCTACTAGGGGCTCGTGGCATCGCTACTAGGAGCATTCTTGCTACTAGTAACAAGAAGCTACTAGGGGCTCCTGTCCTTACTACTAGGAGCAAGGACGCTACTAGGGGCTCCTGGCATCGCTACTAGTAGCAACAAGAAGCTACTAGGGGCTCCTGGCCTTACTACTAGGAGCAAGGACGCTACTAGGGGCTTCTGGCATCGCTACTAGTAGCATTCTTACTACTAGTAACAAGAAGCTACTAGGGGCTCCTGGCCTTACTACTAGGAGCAAGGACGCTACTAGGGGCTCCTGGCATCGCTACTAGTAGCACTCTTACTACTAGTAACAAGAAGCTACTGGGGGCTCCTGGCCTTACTACTAGGAGCAAGGACGCTACTAGGGGCTCG